GCCTATATTTCCGTCCTTCGTTCCCATGTCCGTCCTTTCTCTTAACTGTATTTAATAAGTATATAAAGTGCATACAAAATACATGCGTTATAAAAACAATCAAATAATAATATATCTTGTTTTAAAAAAATAAAACTGTGGCTTTGTTTTAATTGTTAAGAATGATAATTTTTGTAAATATTTTAAACAGTTAATTAAATATTTATAACTACTAAAAGTGATATTTTTCAATGATAAATTTTATAAAAATATCAATAAAATTGCATTTCATTATTATATAAAATGATAATTAGGAAATATAGAATTTATTAAATTAAATGTTTTCGTTTATTTTATTGTGTTGATAAATATCAGCTTTTGTTAACACGTTGAGTGAATTAACGACGTTCTCAATTGTTTTTCTTTCCTTTGGATTTTGGTTCCAACACGTTTGGATAATTTTAAACATAACATCTGGAATATTTTCTCTGTTTTCAAGACGTTGACCTGCTGTTACAAACTCAGCTATTTTCCATGGAAATTTGAATGTATCAATTGGATATGCTTTTTTCAATCTGAACACTTCAAACATAGTGATTGCAAACGAATAAACATCAGCCGGTTTATCGTACTTATCTTGATTTAACACTTCAGGTGCCATGTAGACTGGTGTTCCAATACCATTTGTGAATGTCATGTTAGTCATCAACATATTGACATTTCTTGATGATCCAAAATCGGTCAACTTTGCACTTACTTTTTCATTCAAATCAAGTGAAAACACAAGAATATTGTCTGGCTTGATGTCTCTGTGTAGTATCTCATTTTCGTGTATATACAATATACCTCTTGCTGAATCAACCATAAATTTTACTCTAACCTTCATGTCAACTTCATCACTTGTTTTATGTTTTATCAAGTCTTGCAAACTTCCAAATTGTGCAAACTCAGTTACCATACACACCTTAGTTGGTATGAACACGGCACCATAAAAATGGACGATATAGTCACACCTAAACTTGTCAAGCATTGACACTTCATTTTCAAACTCATCGAGTGACTTATTATTATCTAAAACATTCTTCATTTTTTTGATTGCAACAACATTTCCTCTGAATTTTCCTTTGTAGACAACACCAAACGAGCCTTCAATAAGTTTCTTTTCAACGCTCAACTCATTGTAATCAATTCGCGTTGATTGTTGTGTCACACCAACAAGTGAGATTTCTTTGTATTTCTCTTCATTTGTTTTAAGGTTTTTAGAAACCAATTGTATTGTGTTGTTGATTTTGCAAGAACACAATGGCTTGACATATATAGAAAACTCACACACATAGCCACTTTTAAGTGTAAAAACCTCTGGATCAACACGAATTGTAAACTTTGTGATGTTTGATGAAATTGTAAATTGTATTTTGATGGCGTTTTTGTTTGTGTTACCTACACATAACACTTGCCGAGTCTCTTTGTTAACTTCTATTTGCTCAGTGTCCGAATTTAAGTCTATCACAGTTGAAGAAACGCAAACACCGCCTTGGAAAGGAACAAAGTTGATGTTGGATATATTTATTGCAAAGAGTGTTGTTGTCTTTACAATTTCATGTGTGTGATATTTGTTGAATATGATTTTGGTTGCAATGACAGATAACACAATAAGAACAAGTAACACAATAAGAACAAACAAAACCACAACAAGAATGACCCACCAAACAGCCCGTGACTCACACAACGTGCCATCACCACTTGGGGTGTACCAGAATGAACATTTTGAACACTTTGAATGTGTAATTTCTTTGCATTTTGATATTTGTGAAAAACCAACACAACTTTTATTTGCAAGCAACACACGTGAATTTACACAAGAAGTGCATTTGTTTCTTGTTGTTGTGCACGTGTTGCAGTTGTCATTACATTTTTGACACTCGTTTGTGTTGGCTATATGATACCCATCTTGACACTTTAAACACCCGCTTTGTGTGACATTCACAGCACATCCAACGATATCACTTTGTGGCAGACAGTCACCGCCATTTGTTTTGTAATTTGTTGAGTTGCAAGTGAGACAACTATATTTGTTATTGCATGTCTTACATTTTTGATCACATTTAAAACAATCAAGTCCAACTCGATAATACCCATCTTTGCACACAACACAACCACTTTTAAAACTTGCAAACTGGTCACACGTAAGTTCTAAGTTTTTATTAGTGTTACAATTGTTATTTGACAAATACGTGTTAGGTGGACAGCTGAGACATTTTGTTGATGTTTCAACACAAGTCAAACAACTCGAGTCACAACTTGCACACCGTTTTGTTAACTCATCGAGATAAAATGTATTATTACAAATCAAACACCCAAAATTTTTTTGAGTAATACAATTCGATTCTCCGTTTTTGTTGCATTTATTATTATTTAAGATGTATCCGTTTTCACATTCATTGCATTTACCATTTGATAGATATTTACAATTATCAATTGCTGTTGTACATCTACCATTTTGGTCGTTTGACAGTACACAGTCATTGTTTTTACACATTCCATTTGTGTCCATTTTACTCGAACTGTCACACTTAGTCACCTTTCCGTTTTCACACAATTCTGAATATATGTATAAATCATTACATTTCAAACAATTTGTAGAGTTGGTTCCAAAACCTTTGTAACAAGAAACAATGTTGTTATTAGTTGTCACCTCACCATTTATATCACTTTTTACACACTTACCATTGTTGTATATATACCCATTGTTTTTGTTGCATATTTGGCACTTTCCATCAAATTGAACAAGTAAACACGTCGCATCACTTACACACAATCCATCTCTTAATAAAAATTTATTTGCACACTTGAGACATCTATTTGATATTGAATATTCACAGTTTGTTATTTGTTCACATTTTAAGTTGACAATAAAAAAATGACTTTTGCATGTAACACAACTGTTTTTATTGAGAGGACAATATTTACAATTCACGTCATCACAAATAGTTGGGTCTTCACATTTTTGAGACGTTTTGTTGTACATTTCTTTTGTGCAATGTATAACAAGTATTTTGAATTTTTGGTTGATGTTTATTGCTGCATTAAAATGTTTGTTTTCAAAAATTAATTTTGTATTTGAAACTACAAGTACAGTCTTTGTCAATGTAAACGAATTCATAACAACTGTTTCTGGTATTGAAATACCAAGAATAACTCTGTCACTTTTGTAAAATGAAATTTGTGTGTTTCCAATTGTAACGCTTTCAGATGAAAACTCGTCGCTACGAATAAAGCGTGTTTTTGAACTTGTTTTAGGTGAGTTAATTTTGACATATAACGATGTCATATTTGGAAGTGGAGTAATATACCAATCTTCCATGTCATCACATGGACAATAAGGTTCGCTGTACTTTACATTTTTGTTTATCACGTCCTCAACATGACAAAAGATTTTATTAGAGGTACCATATCTCAGTAATTTACCTCCCAATAACAATTTCGTTCCTGGGAAAATATTTGTTATGGATATTGCCATCCACGAACATATAACATCAAAATCAGAATCTGATTGTATTTTTGAGTTTTTAATATCCAATTCTTTTGAACTAGAATAAAAAACAACAGGAAGATCTCTGATATCTCTGTTATTTACAATAATAATTGAATCGACAAACACAAATTCGGTATTGACACTGATTAAAGACTTACCAGCAATATTGAGTTTAACACCACTTTTAAATCGTAACGTATTTGTTGTAATTTGTGGGGTATCTTTTATTCCATTCATTGTTAAAATGCTTCCTTTTATAACATTAAAATCATTTATGTTGTTAATTTTTGAAAATTTGTTCAATGTTAAAAATGAATTTTCAAATTTAAATATAAACAAATTGTTGTTAATTTCAGAGTGGTCGTTCAATGTTACTTGTGCTTTGTTGAAAACATTTAAATATTCAAGTCCGATTATTTTAGTATACGAGTTCATTAATAAAGTCGCGCCATAAATATATAAATAATTTAATGTGTGTATTATCGAATCATCGTTCATTGTAAAAATGGAATGATCTGTTAAATATAACAAATATGCAGTATTAATAATTGTTTCATGATGCAAAACAACAGTAACATAGTCATAAATATAGAATTCCTTTTTAATATTTAGAATGGCTCTGTCTTTAAAAATTATTTGTGAATAATGCCAAAAATTAATTTTATTATTTATTGTTAAATGAGAATTTTCATTCATTTCTAATTTGGCTGTATTGTAAAAATTGGTTTCTTTTTTTAAGTTCATTCTCGAATAACTATATTGTACAATTGAACCGTTACCCACACAATTTACAATTTCATACATTTGAACATTTGCGTTTGATAATATTTTGAGCTGAATAACATCCAAAGATGTATTACTACCAATGGTTATTTTATTAAATGCTGAGCACGTTTTTGACACTGTGATATTTGTTAAAATCGTGTTTTGAAAGCTACAGCTTGGTGAAGATGAAAAACATATTGAAGTAAACAACACAAGCATGTAAAAACGTGTATAATTATTGATCATTGTCTTATTTTAAAGTTTGAACTTTGATTTTATTATATGTTTGACAATATTTTATAAGTTAACTAAATTTATAAAATGAACACGTGGTCGTTTCATTCAGTTTTGAATATAATTTGTATTTTTAAATGCATATAAACAACTGTTATGAATTAATACATTTCATTAATAAAATTATTAATATTATTTTTGTCCGATTATTTTGGTTTGAAAAATTTCAAAAATCTCAAAAAATTGTTTTTTTATAAAACTAAAGTAATTTTTTATGATTTATCATTGAACAATATTATTATTTAATTTTTTTCTTTGTTATTTCTTCTGATTGTCATACCAGCAACCATACAATTTTGTTAAATTACACATAAAATAGAATTTACGAAAATTGCTATTTTTATTTTGTTTAAGGAATTAGTTTGCTAAATAATATTTAGAATTAAAAAAAAAGAATTAAAAACGGAATAGAGTTAGTCGGAAAACGTTGTCCTGGGCTTTTTGGTCAATAAAAATTGGAAAATATCGGGATCATGTTCAAAATATAAAAATATCGTCGTTTCAGTTTTTTTCCTAAATTTTTCCCATTTTTTACAATTTTTACCTAATTCCCGGGGTTTTAAACAATTATTTGTGTAAAAATTGATAAAAAGGACAACGTTTGCGACTGGGACAACGTTTTACAACAAACTCTTGTTGGTTTTGTTTTATTTTTTTTGTTGAAAATATGAAAAATCCAATTTTGCAAATAATCAGTAAAGTGTTCAAAGATTAAAACTTTATTGATAATTTGGGTAATTTTTAAACATAAATGAGTGGCTCAAATCATTTATAATTGTGTTTTTTAAATTGTAAAATTTTGCAATAATAGTTTTTTTTTACTATTTCAAACTTTTGGTGACTTAATGTATCAAACAACTAAAAAGCGAATTCAAATAAAAATAAGTTGATCAGAACAAATTAAAATAGACAAGTTAAAATTGGTTGTTAAAAAACTATTCAAAAGTGTTTTAAACATTTTTTTAATTTACAACAAAAATTGTTAACGACAATAAACAATATCTTTAGCATATAAAATGGCTTTTTTTTCACTAATATATTATTGTCGGGTAGTTGTACTCAAAATTATTTTTCCCAAAAAATCAATAAATACAATATAATTGTTATTGTTTTTTTAATTGTGAGTTTTTAAAATAAAATTTTTTAAAAATGTTACCTTTTTATTTTGTTATAATATGACAGGTCACAGTTGGTAATTAATGAATGTTTTAAATAGATATTTAAAAACAAAGCATTTATCCATAAAATAACAATTATTTAAATTTAAAGATAACAATTTTAAAATAAAAATACAACAGATTTTATTATCATATTAAATAAATAATAATCCATTAAACACTTTTTATTTAACAATATATTTATTTAACAATATAAATAAAGTGCTTTTGAAGACTCGATTCAAATTGATAAAATTCTTTTATTTTAAAACTATTTGTTTAACTACTTTAAACACTTTTAGCTTTTATGATCGGTCCAACTGACTGTAATCGAAGTCAATATAATCTTTGTAAAGTGTTTTTTTATATCAGTGTTAGTGTGAAAAAATGAAACCAAGTCTTTGATGCCAAAAAATACATCATTTGACACACCTCTATTCTACTTTCAATCCCTTGGCTTTACAACATTCAATACTCATGTTTTTAATTTTAACGTTATTGGTTATGATTATAGCATTTTTTAAAATTGACTAAATTATGTTTAATTAAATTTGGTATCAAAAATTTACAACTTAATCTTGTTATATTTATTACATTTAATAATGTTGCTCATCTTTAATCAAGTTAAAATTTTTGGTTATCATTTATTACATCACAACAGTTTATATACAAATCAAAATGTTGCCTTTCTTTGACCATTTACATATTTTTTCACTGTTATTTTCATTAACAGCTTGCATCATAAACATCATTATACTAAATAAATGGCAGGTCCTATAAATTTTTATTATCACTTATAAACATTGATAACAATTGATTGCACTTGTTTTTTGTTGTAAAAATTGTTGATTGTTTTTAACATCAGTTTCATCATTTGTATAAAACGTGTTGTTGTAATCAAAAAAAATATCTTACATGTTGAGTGACTTTGATGTGATATTTTTAGTAAATTAACAATTTCGTCTTCAAGTATGATAAATTCTGACTTATTGTTTGGTTTAAAGTAACTTTGCAAAAAAAAATAATATATACATATTTTTCTGAGAATCATGGTCACTATAATACAATTAATATGTTATTGATAAACGTTTCAAAAATGTAAGCAATGCAAATGTTTTACCATTGATAGTGTCACTATCTTTAATTAACAAATTATTTACAATTGGTTATATTTTAATTTCATTAGTTTTATTGTCACAAAACCTTTTTCGTTTTAAATTAAGTGCTTTTAATTTAATACAAGGTTTATAAAATTATTAATTTATTTGGATTTACTAAAAGTGTTATTATTGTAAGATAAATTCATGAGATTTGTTATTTTTTGAGGATACAATTTTTTTACACCGTTTTTTAATTTATCATTTTTTAAAGATAAAAATGTATTTTGAAACAAATAATTTTATACAGTGGGGTGAAATAAAGGGGTCTAAAAAAGAAGGATGCTCACAATTATTGGTTATTTTTAAAACAATAATACAGTAGGGGGAGTGAGGGGCTTGACCTATTGTTTTATTATCTTTTTTACTATACAGAGTTTTCCCGGTTCTATTTTAAAAATAACAAAAACTATAAATAATTTATAAAAAATGTCAAAGAAAAAGATTCTTAGCTTATCCAAAACAAAATAAAACGTTTTTTGAAAGAAAAAGTAAACAACCTTAGTGTTATGAAGAAAATTGAATGGCTTATTTCT